CTCTCTCTCTCTCTCTCTCTCTCTCTCTCTCTCTCTCTCTCTTCGTTGTCTTCTTTGCAGGTACGCAGCACCTTTTCTTCAACAGCGCAGCTATGGCGGACCTTCCTCCTCCGATGGCGCGGCTACAGCTATGGCGCCCAGACAACGATGGCCCATGGGATAATGGGAACCAGCTCCGATACCAATGCAATCAAACTCGCTTTCTTCTTCAGTTCGCAGCAATTCACACTGGCGCCAAGCGCCCACTCAAAGCTCAGAGATATGGAACCCGAGAACACCGTTCAGATGCAAACTCACTTCAACAGGCTATGGCGCATCAGCGCCTGTACATCCCAACTCTCGACACTGTGTCCAACACCACTGTTCGCAGACACTCAACTCTGGATCACCCTGAATACCCCACACGCGCTCACTGCATCACACACACATACACACACACTAACACCTAACGCTAGCTACGGCGGCTATGGCCGCCGGCTACCACTAACTATGGTGCACTAACTTCTTCAAGCCCACTTCGACCTCGGCCCTCTGCAGACCACCTCGCACAAGACGCTCGGGCAGCGCTTCCGCATGGCTCACGCACGAATGAATGAATGGCTGGACGCTGCCTCTTGATTTATACTTCTGTATTATGAACTTGGTTGTTTGACGATTTTCACCGCCATTCACGCACAGACAATCTCATACACGCCCATACATGCATAAGACGAAGGGGAGAGGAGACAGAGTCCAAACTGCACACAGATCAAAGTAGGCAGCGAAATACAACCATGCACAGATGGGGAGAGACACACAGTATTTCTCACTCTCTGACAATACTCCCAACAACCAATCACAAGAAGACACCTGCGAGGATAACAATAGGATTTACACTGATGATGAGCCCACTCGAACCAATTATCGTTACAGAGTTTGTTTCAGTATCTCGCCACCCTCAGAAGTCCACACTCCACTCTCTACCCTACACCCAGTTAGTAGCGGAATACTGAGATGGCCTCCCAGAGGCCAGCGCCAACCGCCCAGATGAGGAACAGGAGCTGCCATGGAGTCTTCAGTGACGCTGAACAACTCTGACGAAGAAGCTGGCAGCTATGGCTGCCACACCACTGATGAAGCCTGAAACTCCCAAAAGAGAGAGGGGCGACAGTGGTCCACCCACAAACACTCAGTGAAGAGCCTCTCAATAGCCCAGCCAATCGCAGATACCCTCAGAAGTCCACACTCCACTCTCTACCCTACGCCCAGTTAGTAGCGGAATACTGAGATGGCCTCCCAGAGGCCAGCGCCAACCGCCCAGATGAGGAACAGGAGCTGCCATGGAGTCTTCAGTGACACTGAACAACTCTGACGAAGAAGCTGGCAGCTATGGCTGCCACACCACTGATGAAGCCTGAAACTCCCAAAAGAGGGGCGACAGTGGTCCACCCACAAACACTCAGTGAAGAGCCTCTCAATAGCCCAGCCAATCGCAGATACCCTCAGGGGTAGATGCTCAGAGGGTGCCCCAGCTATGGCAAGCTCCAGTAGGCTGGGTATGGCTGCCGTCCACGACGAGGGTCTCAGGGTACCGCCTGTAGACAATCGCCTCCACCAAACTCGCTTGGCTCCGAACGCTGCGTCCCAAAAATGAAAAGCCAAAAGTCCCTAAACTACAGGCTCAGTCCTATTCATAGACTAGCCTACTCTAGACGTAGACCTACTGGACCGGTACCGCATCTATTTGGCCTGCTCGGCCTGGGCCTTACCCGGCTATACGACATCTAGACCGTCCCTACAGCCCAAGGCCCAGATGGGCCTGCTGTCCTAGTGATACCCGGGCCTGCTAAGGGCAGTAACGGCTAAGGGGAACTCGGGCCTGCAATTCTCCTGGATATTGCAGATATGTTCCTCACGAATTTCCCTCAGGAGTCAGGACTGAACTGGCGGTTAGTCCCTGACACAAACAAAATTACGAATCTGACCCTAAGACGCGACTATACAATCTTGCAGTCAGATCTCGGCAGCAGAAATCAGCAAGTCATTGCATCTGTAAGTCTCTGGTCTGCCCTTTTCCACCAGGCCCATGGTGCACACAGTCCCTCATGGTACTTGCTGACTGTACAAAGTGAGACTGGGACTGGGTACCACTGACTAAGCGAAGTTGGACTCGCCACTTGCCCAGTTGCCTCTGGGCTGCTGTGTATAACGTGAGAAGAAACTTGAAAGGCCACTTCCGGACCTTCCGGAAGTTTGCGGACTTGGCCTTTCAGGACTGTAGCAGCTACGACCTTGACCTTTCAGAACTACAATAACTATGACCCCTATGCAGTTATGACCCCCTACTTCGACAGGTCTAAGGTTCAAGACTCGGCAACTACTCAGACCTACGACATACTAACACGCAGGTCACGGGTTCTAGACACAGGGTCGACTTGATACTGTACAAAGGGAAAGAAAAGTAAGGTAAGGTCTGGGGATCGAGCCCTGGGATCCGCATCTGTGACTGCAAAAGGTGAAAACCGTTTCGGGTCCATTGAAAGCAGCAACCCGAGGCCCAGAGTCGACAAATATCAGGTCTGATCGGTGGAAGTGTATAGAGGGGAGTTCAGAAGTATGTCAGTCTAGGGGTCTGTGTCAGTCCAGAAGAGGCCTTACTGAAGGTCTGATTTAGGTTAATTTATCTGAGAGAACTCGTACCCAGCGAAGCCTGGCCTTCAGGCCCAGACCCCGCAGAGAAGTTGAAGAGTCTGATATTTTCTCAGCCAGAATCTAAGTCATTCAAAAGCTGGTCAAGGGTTTGGCGTACATTAAATTTCATGTGCATGTGAGAACACATACGCCAAAGAACACCAGGCCTTCAGGCCCAGACCTGAGAGAGAAGTTAAAAGAGTCAGATATTCTCCCAGGCAGAAAGAGTCAGATATTCTCCCAGGCAGAATCTGAACCATCCAAAAGTTTGCACACATTTAATTCCAGGTGCATCCATGTCCATCCACTCCCCAGCTGGCCTTACTCTGCATTTGCCAGCATGAAACCCAGCTGCAAAGAAAATGAGCAATGTGAACCACAGAAATCAAGTTGCATCATCCCATAGAAAGGCAGATAGTCACATGCTCGAACCGAAATCAGAATGCACCAAGATATACACCAAATAAGAGGAAGGCAATGAAATTAATTAACAATTTAAACCGTCTTCTTGCCTCCACCATCAATGTTTCCAATGTCACTCTCCTATGTGGCGCTCGGCGCCCAGACTACGATCAGACAGCACCTAGACTAGCTAGCCTCTAATGACGTCAACAGGTCTTCATGAAGTGCAGCTGCCAGATGACGAATGAAGACTTCGGCTGGGCCAACCGGCTCATCATCACAGGTGCGTGCTTTTTCCTCCATCGCCCATCACCCCTCTCACACCACAGAGCCCTCTCTCAAACACCACCGCATGAACCCCTCTCTCGGGATACACAGACAGCGGCCAGGCTATGGCCGCCGCTGAGCCAAGCTGCACCCAGGCAGCTCTCTCCATGCACCCCGCCATCACTTTCTCCCACACCCGACCTGCTTCCAGTGCATGTGTGAATGAGCGCACCCTCCAGCAGCACTGTCACCAGCCAGCCAGGGACATGAATGAAGGAGTGTCTGGCTGCACTTCTTTTGTGCAGATGCTGGCTGGGCAAGGGACCTTCTGGACTGCTCGGCCTCTGTCCCGGTAGCTGCATTCGGGGCCCTTCCAGAATGTGCCTTGGGATCAACTGGAAGTGCCCTGGGCCTCAGAATCTTTTTGGGCCCCATCGTCTACAACCGATCGGGACTATTGGTCAGTTGCA